CTCTGGGTGTGGCGACTAGGTTGGGGAAGCAAAGCTTGGACGCTCGATTTCTGCTGCTTGGTTAGCTCAGCTTTGCTGGAGGCTTTAGGCCAAAGACCACTGGCAATACGAGCTAGGTAATCAGTCCGATTACCCTCCTCCCTACTGACACACGGCTTGGCTAGTTCCTTGAGCAGCTGAGCTGCATGGAACCCGCACGCTAGACAGACCCATGTCCCCAGTCCCGCGCGTTATCCGAAGTTATGGCTTGAATCGGGACACCCCCCGCAATATGCACCCGCCGCCCAGGGGGGGGGTCAAACAAACTACCGTCCACATTATTTAGCTCAGAACACGAGGAGGTGAGCCAATCCTTGCGCTTAGCATTGGAAGTACCCTTGCACCTACTGCACTTGCTGTCATTGGACTCACATAACACATGCTGAAAACAGAAAACGCACAAACTGAGGGGGCGGGAGGTCCAGGTTGGGCCTGGCGGGCGGCTTTCCTACCAAGACTCTTATCATGCTCTTGCTCTGCAGCCAAAACCTCAATCGTGCTCTGGGGAACCCTCATCCGAACAAGGAACGCATTGTGTTCATTGGCGAGAACTCTCGCGCGGCTATTTTCTGACACTCTCGACTCGTCAGCTTCGCGCGCGGCGAACTCGTCAGCCATGGCATTGCCCGACAACAGCAACCTTGGCGCCTTGCCCTGTAGCGCGCGCGCGGCCTCGAGGTGCGAGTGGACGAACAGCGTCGTGCACTGCATATCTGGATAGTCATTCAGACGCGCAGCAATCTGCCACCGCAGGTCACTCTCTGGCCCCGCTGGCTCATTATAGCGCTGACTGTACCAGCCAATGGTGATGCTCTCGCTGTCCGTGGTGCATATCGCGCAGCCTCTGCTGCCGCGCAACGCCAGAAAGAAAGCCGGCAAATCCCCCCTGGCCGCCGTCTGGCGCGGCCCAGGTAGGCCCCCCCCGACGCCGAGGGACAGCTCCATGTCGCCGTCGAGGTTGCTGAAGCAGGCCAGGCCGCATCCCGCCCTTCTCAGGGTGGGGTTCTTGCTCGCTGGGCCGCCGCTGGCGCCCCCAAATGTGCATGCGGGATGCTCCTGCGTACCTTCCCCAACGCATCCGCCGACGAAATCCCCCCGATTCGTGCGCCGGGGCTCGGTGCTCTGAGGCGCCCCCACTGCGACCCATGATGCTGGGGCGCGCCCTCTCGCCCAGAAACAGGTGCCCACCTCTCCCTGCGCTCGCGCAACGAACTTCTCCGTCAAATCATACGCACCATGCCGAACATGACCTTCGCACGCCCACGCGCGGTGGAAGGCGGTCTCTCGATGTCCCCGACAACGCAAGCATTCCTGTGGCAACTCCTGTCTGGAACGCTCCTGCCGTCGTGCACGTGGCCATGTGGCTCTGACAGCGATCGGCGACATAATACCTGCGAGTCTGCGACCTCCTGGACCTCCCTCCAACTGTTGGAGCAACTGGCGGCACGACTGATTGCGCGCTCCTGCTTCCAGTCCTGGCCCTTCGCAGCGTAGAGGCGCGCGCTGCCACGGACTGGCTCTCGCGGTCTGCTCGTGCTCGTCAAAGAAGGCGCCGGGCAGGTCGATGCTCTCGTTGCCCGCGAGGTTGTCGGTGGAAAATTGCCAGGCGCGCTCGGC